GTACCTTTTGGCCTTCTTGTTATACGCATATTTCAGCCGTTGTACCCTTCGGCCTTCTTGTTATACGCATATTTCAGCCATTGTACCCTTCGGCCACGTTGCTATACGCATATTTCAGCCGTTGTACCCTTCGGCCTCCTTGTTATACGCGTATTTCAGCCGTTGTACCCTTCGGCCTCGTTGCTATACGCATATTCCAGCCGTTGTACCCTTCGGCCTCCTTTTTATACGCATATTTCAGCCATTGTACCCTTCGGCCTCGTTGCTATACGCATATTTCAACCGTTGTACCCTTCGGCCTCCTTGTTATACGCATATTTCAGCCGTTGTACCCTTCGGCCTTCTTGTTATGCGAATATTTCAGCCATTGTACCCTTTCGTCTTCGTACTAGGTAACTATCTCGTAATGTCGAACCGAAAACATTCAAAACACGAAGATAGATTGTTTTTATTCCATTTTCCATGCACAGGGGATATTTCTTATCAATATTTACCTGTCTTATTCACCTTTGTGTCGCTTGTTCGTTTCTTTCCCTAAATCAGAATATGTGACGTTAAAGCACAACCAGACCGAGGTTCGGAAATTCTAGACGGTTAACGAGTACGAAGAAGGTCGGGATGTACAACGACCGAAACGTTAAAAGTATAATAACTAGACTGCGGACACTGGACAGAGTTAATGGTGAGGGTGAGTTTATCCGTTTCCTTATAAGGAAATATTCAGCAATCAGCGTTATTGTCGGTTGTATTCTATAAAATCATTTCACTCAAAACTGTTTTTCCGGAAAGTAGATTTCGCAAGTCCCTATCTGCTATCGTTCTTTCCAGTATTGACTGGGGCTTTCTCCCTAACCTTTTGCTTGAAGTGGTTTGGAAAGTCTGCATCTTGATTATGTCATTATTTTCTCTTTGAGTTGTGTCATCCATTTTAGTTGTTGCTGTTGAAAGTCGTTAAGTGATGTGATTTCTGTTATTTGGTAAAGTTCTTTGTGATTCTGTGGCGCCAGTTCGCGAGATCCAACTAAGAACGGTCCACTTTAGGACTCGCTATATTCATTCACTTGCATAAACTTTTAATCCGTGATATGAGAAAACGGTTGTATATAGGTGATAGTTTGGTGATTTCAGAACGAGTAGAACGCCATTTATGACATCTATATGATAGTCTAGATCTGACAAGACTATTCAAGGACATGATTTGTGTTCTTCGGTTAATGTTTTCGTTTTCTAGCAATTTGTCTTGTTGAATGAAACTACCCCTAGCGCAGCCAATTCTAGGTTAAATTTCCTTATCTACTTAACAATTTTTTTTATAACTGATCCATATACTGCTGTACTTGAAGTGCTAGAATTTGACATTATCAGATGGGTTTCTTTAATGTATTTAATTGATCAGATCCGCCGTTTTCTCTTGTGAGAGTAAATTACGTACATTTTTAAAACAAATTGTATAGTTCATGAATATTCATGCTTTATCATATGAACTTGTAGATTAAGTATTGTTATCTTTTGAAAATTTTCTCTTTTGTCTTCGGCTATAAGTTTTGTAATTACCTGTATGACTGATGCATATTAAAAAAAATATGGATTCAAGCCATGTTCCTTCACGACGTTGGTGATCACAGTTCTCTGAAGGCAGACCAGTCATCCAACGTTTACTGCTGTTTATCGTCACGTTGCTTAGATAGGATCCGAAGCATCACAAACTGTGAATCGAGGAGGACTGAGATCTGCTCGTACGTCTGTCCGCGAAAAACACATTATACAGGCTGTCGGAGACGATTCAGTACACTTCAAGTGTCCCTATAATGTCGTACATCTCGTAAAACCGCATAGAGGGTACTTCAAGAGCAGCTCCTGTATCCGTATCATTTACAAAGCGTGCAGGGTCTTTCGCCCTCTAATCACTCACCACGAGAGAAATTTGCCGATAGTTTACTGCACAAACGCCGATCCATTTTTGTCTCTTCAGTCTTGTTTACGGATGAGGCAACATTTGGAAGAGATGTAATAACAAATTTACACAAACGACATTTGTGGGTGGATCAGAATTCCCATGGCAAAATACAGGCTAGACACCAGCATCAGTTTAAGGTTAATGTGTGGGCTGGAATTGTAGGTGACTGTCTGGTAGGTCCATTTGTTCTCCCAGCACGTCTTACAGGAGTTGTCTACAGAAACTTTATTTCGAACGCACTTCCAGACCTGCTAGAAGATGTACCCCTGCTAATACGAAGGCATATTTAGTTCACGTATGGTAGGGCTCCAGCACATTTTAGTCATTTTTTTCGTGATGTATTAGCTGACATCTACTATGAAAGATGTATAGGCATAGGAGGGCCGATTCCATGGCCTGCATATTCTCCTGACCTCAATCCTTTGGATTTTTATCTATCGCGCCACCTAAAACAATTGGCTTATTAACTAATAATGCAGAGATGCTTCATAAACATGTTATGGGGGCCTGCAAAAGCATTCGACACCATTTGTATGGAGTATTTGAAAGGGTCTGTCACTCAATGATCTGATGGGTGCATGTGTATAGGTGACATTTTGAATATTTGTTATGAGTTGCTGTGTTGAGGTACAATGATGGCCTTTGGGACATATGTTTATATAGGCTTTTGTCCTTGTTTCGGTGTGAGGAACCCACCCATAAAGTTGTAAAAGTATTTTGATACACCCAGTATATGCATGCCGTGACAATATTTCGCGGCACACTTAAAAGGCTCGCGCGGCACATTATTGCCGTGGCATGGTATTTGGGAATCACTGAACTAGAATGTTATGTGTTGTTTCCAGTAATTGTTAATAATAGCTGATATGAACTCATTCAATATTAATTAGGTATATTTCTATGTGCCGTGTTCTGTCATGGGCTGTCATGGTTTTACACAATTTTCCATCCTTTCTAGCTCTTAATAAAGATTGTCTTTTTGCCATCTTTCCTAACCCCTATTCTGCTATAGGTCTATTTCAAAATGTCCAGTACGTGTCGAATATTCTAAATTCTTTTTCCTTCTCATGTTCTCTGGAGATGTCAACTATCACTTTCTGATTCTAAGTCTAATTATTTTTGTTGTTCATTTTTCCTAAAACCTCTTCGTTGCTCATATGTTTAATCCATTGTAGTTCCAGCATCTTTCTACAGAACCATATTTCTGTTTACTCATTTCTCTTCTCCATTTATGAGGAGATTGTTCAGTATTCACTGACGTATATGAGGACCGATATTACCTACCAGTTCATTACTCCTTTCTTTGCTTCTAACTAAAATTAGTAGGCATCCAGAAGTCAGTGCAAAGCAAGTAATTAGAATTAAATTGAGGGTTGTAGAATGCACAGAATAAATCTCTGTGGAAGTGTTACACTGCATGATCCATATTATCGACGACGATCATCTGGGGACACATTAAGGGGCATCTTATTACATGGGACAAAAGTAGGGGATATATTCTGACCTCGCAGATTTCACATTCTGATCTGCTAATAATTACACCAGCTGCACATGCGACTTTTATTTCGAATTCCAGTTGGGTTCGTTACATTGATTTTCCTGAATATAAAATTGAGAAAACGTATGAATCCATCTCTTTTCCCTCCAGCTATAGGTTAATTATTAAGACAGGCTGGTTTCTTCAGCTTTGGTTGGCAACTAGTCTAAGAGAGGGAAAACTTTGAAATCAAAGGTGGCTAGTTATGGGACTAGCAACTTCATCAAGAGAAATCATATACTGCTGAAACTACAAGAGCAATACCTAGCGTGTTGAGACTGTGACCCCCATATTTTACAGCTGGAGTTTATGAAACTTGCGGTCGAGCGATGCCCTAACCAAGTTGGGTATACTCCAACCTAGTCCATCTTTTAAACTGGAATAGTCTAACTTATTTGTATAAAACAACCGAGCCTAAATCAAAGTGTATACTCTGGGCTTTTACATCGGTAATGTTGACAGTATTAGATGGTTCTTAAATTCTCAAGAGTTCATTAACTTTAAAAAAATTTTTAAGAGCAGAGCCTCTGATTAGCATTTATAACAGTTGTTTACATATTTGAACACCAGTTGTTTGCACAGTTCACAGCGTCTCGATGCATCTATTCTGCTGTGCCTGTGTTTATGCTTCGTTTTATTCTTTATTCATCATATCCAATCTTTTAAAATAGACCTGACCAAGGACAAAGTAACACAAAGTGTCTGCAATGCTTCATTTCTATTCTAAACATTCTCGCCATCTTCAATTGAATTGTGGTTTGAAAAGCTTCAAAAAAGTATTGCTCGGTTAACTTTTGAATGTCATTATTCATTCTTTAATAAAGTTCTCATTATACAACGGCAGTAATTTTTTCTTCAAACGGTTGATATTTATACAAGGATAATAATTCCAAGAAATGAAATATTACTTTTAAGGTTCATCGTTTGAAATAAGTATATTGACTAGAGACTATAAAAAACCCATTTTCTAAAAGATTTAAAAAGAATAAACTCAGAGCTAAAATTAATCGCTGTTTTTGATCATTTGCATTTTTTTTTTCAAAAGCACCCGTCGCAACTAAAAGACTATAAAATAAACAGAAAGTTCAAAAGTGTTTCCTCGAATTTCTTTCCTTCTTTTTTTTTTCGGGACGCTAAGAATGAAATTACGAGCCTCGGAGTTGAATTATGATCTCTAAGTCGGTAACTGATACATACTGTGTTGCAAACAGTGTTAAAACGAGGCCGTCTTTTTGTATGATTTAATTAATGACATTATTTACTTCTGCGTTGCTCCGCTTCTTTATAACAACAAAAAATACAAGAAGCAAAAGATAAACATAATTAGGTCGATTAAAAAAAAAAAAAGTCCCAGAAAGATCGTACTTTTAATTTCAAGGCTTCCACCTGCTCGTTGCTACTCCTTGTCATCAAACCGTTCTTATATTTGATTAAGTATTTACGGTTTGCAAAAGTGGGCGGGTATTGAACTATCTTGAATAAACTGTAGATGAAGACGACCAGCCGTTAAAAATGGATCGAATGAAGAGAAACAGGGTGGCTGAAGAAAAATGAATAAACGGGAGTTGGAAAGAAGTAGTAAATTAAGAAAACGTGAGACGAAAAGAAAACAAATGTTCGATCGAAAATGAGGACAGATAAATCAATGAGAAGACATAGTCGATAAATTTTAGATAAATTTAAGGAAGAGAATAACGAGAGAAAGAAAGAAAGCGGAATGAGCTGATATGAGAGAGAGAGAGAGAGAACAGGAAAAGGAAGGAAAGAAAAAGAAAGAAAATAGACAATTAGATAAAGAAAGCGTGATAAATTGAAGTGAAAGAAAAGATAAAATGAAAGAAAGAAAAATAAGACATAAAAATGGTGTGATAAATTGAAATGAGAGAAAAGATAAAATGAAAGAAAGAAAAAAAGAAGGCATAGAAGGATTGTGTGATAAATTGAAGGGAGAGAAAAGTTAAAATGAAAGAAAGAAAAGGAAGAAAACAACTTGAGAAAGAATACAGTATGAGCTGAAGTTATAGAAAAAAATGAAAAAGAAGGAAAGAAAAAGAAGAAAAAATACAAATGAGGAAAAAGAAAAAAAGAAACTATGGTGAGTTGATATAAAGAAAAGATAGGGAAGGAAAGAAAAAGGAAGGAAAAGCAGTGAAAGAAAGAACGCCGAGAGAGAGAAAAAATATAAGGGGAAAGAAAGAAAATGACAATGGGAGAAAAAACACAAGATGAGCTAAAGTGAGAAAAAATAAAGAAAATGACGATAAGAAAAAGAAAGAAAGCAAGAACGCTACATGAGCTGAAGATATAGAAAAAAAAAAGAAGTGGAAGGAAAAGGAAAGAAATGGGAAAGAAAAAGACAATGAGAGAAAGAACTTAGGAATAAGCTAAATTGATGATAAAAAAATAAAAAGGAAAGAAAATAATGAAAATTGAAAATGAGAAAAAAATGAACAAAATACAAAAACGTTACTAAAAAGTAAAAAAATAAAAAATGGAGGAAGCAAAACAGAAAGAACGGAATCTACAGAGGAGAATGGGAAAGATGTCAAAAAATACGAAAGTGTAATGGAAAAAAAGACGAAATGAAAGACAAACGAATAAATTCTCTAAGAGAAGAGAAAGGAAGGAGAAAATAGAAAAGAATGGGTGCAAATCGATAGCTAATAAGTATAAGGCCTTTATAGCACAAGGCCATAAGTAAAAAAACACCTAGCGAAGATCGAACTCATCGCTAATAATGCACGAGACCAGTTTGTTAACCATTACTCGATGTGGGACACTTTTTTTAAAATGCCATATCCCTTCAGAATGTAGGCGATCACGGTTCCCCACAGGATCATTTTCTCTTTCAACTGTGAATCGCCATGACTATTTAAAAACGCTAGTGAGTGCTTTACTCTTGTTTTCAGTTTAGTTTTCCTTCTCCTAGACTAGCAGTCACCCAAGGCATCTTGGTATTTAATGAATAACGGAAGGAAAAAGAGATGGATTCATGCCTTACCTAAGGGTATTAGTACGAGTTTAACGCAACAGACGAAGCTGGAACTCGTAACCTGGCTCGCTGATTACATCTTCCGAGCAGATAAGAGTTACGCTACCCGCAAATAATAATAATAATAATAATAATAATAATAATAATAATAGTTTTTTTTGTTTTTTTTTTAAAAAATGATCAGTGGAGAATAAAGCCATTTCTGACCTTAGGTCTAGCCGGAAATAAAAAATAAAACGAAATAATAATAATAATAATGATAATAATTAGAAAAAGAAGAAGAAGAAGAAGAAGGAGGAGGAGGAGGAGGAGAAGAAGAAGAAGAAGGAGGAGAAGAAGAAGAAGAAGAAATTCTGTTTATCATGAAAAATGAATGAAATAAACTTTTTGCAAGCTATAGTTTTCAAAATTAATAAAAAAATACAGCGGCACATAGAGAACGATATATATATGTATGTATGTGTGTGTGTGTGTGTGTGTTTGTGTGTGTGTGTGTGTGTGTTTGTGTGTGTGTGTGTGTGTTTGTGTGTTTGTGTGTGTGTATGTCGTGAGCATTCATAAAATTGGACAAAAAACCTGGTAAGACATGGCTGTAAACGCGAATGGTTGTTTGTATTAAAGCAGTGGGCCTTAATGAAACAGATACATATTTACCAAGCGCAATGTGGTAACAAGAGGGCATACGCGAACAACAAATGAATAACGGGATTGGGAAAGCGAGGATCGTGGTCTTCAGATGTTGGCGGGCAAGGGTAGCCCTTTTGTAGCCTATGGTGGTGGCTTTGTTTGCACTCTTCACAAAAAGAACGGCAGTGGATTTATGAATAAAGATAACGGGAGACTGCAAATCGGATTTATTTACTGTTCACATTCACAGGAGAGCTGTTCTTGTGTGTTATTTTATGCTTTTGGTTTCGTATTTCGCCAATTAGTTTTGTGTGGTAAGGAACTGTCCACCAAAGAAACTAGCATTTTCAGAACAAATTGTGAAAACAAAAGAGATATTCTGTCTTTTACAGTTTGCAGAAGCATTTCAATTAAACTCCAGTTTGGGCACTTCAGCTCCGGTAGCAATTGGAAAATATCATCTCGTAAAGCATTTCAACCATTTACTTCAATCCTAACCGAGCACCTTTCACACACTACCTTTCATGCTAGAATAATCTAAAATCACTGTGTCGTGAGTTCAATCCTAAAAGGGTGCCTTATAGGTACAGACTTAAGCTAGAGTAAACTAGAATAACTGTGTAATGAATTCAGTCTTAATCGGATGCCTTACATATACATACTTATGTTAGAATAAGCTAAAATAACGGTGTAATGAGTTCAGTCCTAAATAAACACCTTACAGATAGACTTATACTAGAGTATGCGAGAATATATGTACTTAGTTCAGTTCTAAACGGATGCTTATTCTAGAATAAGCTAAAATAACTGTATTGTGATCTCAAATATAACTGAGCACTTTACACAAGTGATTTTGCATCAGAATAAGTTATAATTAGTAATTGTGGAAGGTTCAGTCTTGTAATCATCTAAAAAAATATTCAGTAATGTTAATATTAGTTTTTTATTGTTGTTGCCATTTGCTTATCTCAAATGATATGGGACATCCTACAAATATGACCCACCAACAAGGATAGAACTCACTAAAGTAATAATGGTCTTCAAGACTAATTAGTTAACCGCTACACCAAGCCGAGGATTGCTATAAAGCTTATTTAGTAATCAATCACAAAACAGATAGTTTGTCACAAAGTGAGCAATGTATACACTAAGAGGAAATCATTAGCGATTGCGTTATATTTGTCACCCACTTTCATCTTAGGAATCCTACTTAGTTTATCTTTTATTACAATGACGAAGTAAAGGGTTACAGGGTAGGAGGCACAGTTTATGGGAATATTTGAGGAGGATAACGGTGGAACGTAGACTTGAACAGATTATGACTGTTTTAATCGGGGAGGCATCCTCTTGAGAGTCGATTCCACAAAACAGCGATGGGAAGAAGCCGCTCGAGTGGAATTTACCGATGGAATACGAAAGGAATGCGGGTGTTTGCCATAGTGTGCACGGCATGCCGGTCTTAGCCTTGAAGGTTAGAATTGGTGGAAGTTTGAAACATTTCCATGAAAATAGCGATAGAACAGCGAGATTCTTACTGTCGATGAGTGGTTTTCATCTTGTTGTATGGCCTCTATATTTCTGTTCTCGAAGATCTTTTCGAACGGTGGATTGTGAAAACTTCACCCCTGCACTGTGGAAGTTGTTGGTATAGCGAAGAAAACGTCGACTTACCTCGTCATACCAAGCGACAGCGCGTCGCGTGTGTTCTACGACGGAAAATGTGGCGAAAAAGAAAATTACTTACCAAACAAAAGGGCACGTATTCCGCATGACATGCTGAAAATGGAATATTTGAATTAAAAAACAAGTCCGTCGCAGGTGTCGCTATAAAAGTATTTTGATATGCAAAATACTGAACATCCTCTCCCAGCTGTCGACGAATGGAAAAATGCTCGGTCGATAAAAGCAGTTGGTGTTCTCGAATCAGGGAGGAAATTCGGGTATTATTTTATATATATTTTAGCATTATTAAATTTTTATGTCAAGGGGCGCGTTTTGTAGGTCTCCCTAGTAAGAATGTGGTATTATGGTATATGGAGGAATTGATTGGAGACAGACGAGTTCTTGTGGTGAATGTGGGAATTGTAATGTATGAATGGGTCGTGAATTGGATTAGCTAGGTATAGGATAGTTAGTTAACACCAGCCACAACCCCTCCCCCCATTTTCGGCCTCGTGCCATAATTGTATTTTTTAATGCAATAAATACTGCAAAATTCGGGTATTTTGGCTACCGCGTTTGTTGGAGAATGAGTTATTTTTCTGACTGGTTGCGTACATTGTGATTCGTTCGTGAGATAATACCTGCGAATCGAGTTTTCGGCATTTCTTTCTCCCCCCCGATGTTCGAGTCTGAACTTAGTGATTTATTCTCTGTGACGTAGAAATAGTCTGCGACAAACATTTCCTTTGTAATCCCAGATCGCTTACAGTTGGTGATGTCACTGACTGTTGTTTCGGGGAATTTTCCCTCCCAGCTGTCACAATGTTTCTGTCATCAACTGCCGTTGTTTTACTTGGCCGATCTGTTCTATGTCTGTTGTTCAGTACACCACCAGTTTCTTTTCTTTTCAGGACATTTCAAATTATTGTGTTGGTTATTTCCAATGTTTGTCCAATGACTCTGATCGATTTTCCTTCTTCACTCAGCTCCCAAGTGGCTTTCTTTTCTCCCATAGACAGCTCTCGTCTTCATATTATCCGTTTTAACAAGAAATGCAGTCTTTACATATGAAACCCAAAAAAGGCAACAGCAGGAGAAAAAACACCTTTCAATCACGTGTTCCAATAATTTCGCTCGCTTGAAAAATGGGTGGGGTTCAAACAAAAGGTAGTATGTCCTAAGTTGTTTACTACATCTAAATATAAATACCAGGAAATAAAAGCTGTAATTCTGAACTCTTGTCACATATTCATCTTTTGATCCCAAACAGAAATGTCTTCAGGGAATAACAAAAATAAAGGAATTAACCTTGTCGTCCCAATATTTTTGGAGGGGACTGTATGTGCATGAGTGTTAGAGGAAGTTTTAAGGAAAATGGAAACAATAAGGTACGTATATTTACAATCAAAAAACGACAACTGAATTTTTTAGGGTACATAACGAGTAAGTGGACTAAGAAAATTTGACACTCACAGGACATGTCGAAGACAAAAGGTACGGCGAAATTAGTGTGCCACTTACCTGATGTGCTTATGTAAATGGATAGCAGAACGAATGGTAGAAGAGGTGGCAAAAAGACAAAGGTTACTAAGAGCTACAAAAGATAGGAAATTGTAGAGAGCCATGTTCATCAACGTCCTGAAGGAACATGGCACAAGAAGAAATTTCTTAAGAAGAGCCTAATCTGAAGCAGAACCTCAACAATGGAATACCATGTAAATTTCGAACTTGATAACCATGGCAAATGAAAAGAAGAAAACATTTAACAAACAATACGCCCATGAGTTCACATCTACTATTGTTGGTATTACCCCACCCTCACCACTGTGTCAGAATGTTATACACAGTCGGTTTAAACTGAGATAACCATACACATACATACGGGCCAAGCACAAAAAATTCTCAGTGACTGCGACTGCTGTCATAGGAGACCCTATTTAGTTTAATGAGGAAAGTACTGCCACAAAGTTGGAATCATACAACCAAGAACTGATGGATGGCAGAAACACAACGGAAAGAAGAACAGATACGGCACTTTTATCCCAACCCGGTAAGGGGATGTGGCACAAGGTTGGTTTAAAATAGAGTACTGAAACGCGTACATGTGTGCAAAGTAAAAAAAAAAAATCACATATTCAGGACTGTCACGCTAGCGTAGATAATTGCCTTCTTCTTTAGGGAAATACAGATGTAGGTTTTTGATATAGGACAAGGTATCCCTGACTACAGTGTGAAGAACAAATACTAAACTAATGACGGGATATTGCATAAGGCCTGTTTAAAGTGCAGAAGGGCTAAGGCCAAAAGTTGACCGATCCCCGCAATCAACGTAGGGCTGACATCCTTACTGCACCGACCCTTCCTCTTTGGTGCAATGAGTGAAATGCTGCCGTAGGGTAGGAAGCCCCTGGTCCAGGCATCCCTCATTTATTTGTTATGTTCTATCCGAAGACAGAAACACAATTGAGAGATAAATGGTAGTTTATCCACCCGGGGACAGGTGCTACACTTAGTATTTACTTGCCGCTCCATACTGGCAGGATGCGACACAGTCAGTTTAATGTGGGGAGCTTGAACCCGGGCACTCATCCCCGCCCCTCCCACAACAAAATAAAAAGTAGTCCAGCCTCTGCAACTGCTGGCATTAGTATCACTACCGACCCTTCTTTGCTGCAATGATGGACGCACCGCCGCGGGCAGCTGTTTCCTGGAACCGAGTACCTCTTAATATTTTTCAGTTGCGCTCTGTCCGCAGACAGAAGCACAATGGAGAGATAAAACATAGTTTTGCCCGCCCAAGAGCATGTACTACACTTTGATCTAAGCCCGATGCTGGAGAACGCTACCTACGATTATCAGTTGATACATCTCATCTTATATCTTCTCAAAAATCACTCTTAAAACGGCTACGACTATCATAACTGTTTGTACTAGCTACTACGACTACTTCAACAACAATTACGAGAGATAATAATAAATAAATAAGACTGTCCTGATTTTGAGCCAAATTTCTCTTTCAAAGTTGGTATGTAGATTGTTCTGCAAGCAGCCTCGGCTAATTTCATTTCTTGCTAACATTTTACGGCCGTTGGCACGAAAAAAAAAATGAAACAGAAAAGAAAAGATTCATGATAAAGAAATAAAAGAAAGAAAAAGGTCACAGCAGGTCATTTAGAGCGGATGTATTTTCCGCATACTGCCTGGGTTTAAATCTAAATGTCAATTATGTTAAGTATTATATTGGGAAAATCTCTCGTCTGCTTTATTTCCTGTGGCTAGCGGAACCATTTTCGACACGTTTGGTTTTTCGATAACTCTGTTTGCGCGCGTTGTTTGAACACACATGTACGCGCGCGCATAGCTTGAGAGGAGAGTAAAAGAAAGAAAAACTGAGAAAGTCAGAGAAAAGTAAGCGGCTCTGTGTGTGAGTGTGAGGGATAAAGAGAGGGAGAGGGGGGAGAGAGAGAAAAAGAGAAATCGCCATCTAGTGTGAGTGAGAGGTAAAAGAAAATGAGAATGATAAACAGGGAAATACATGCAGTGAGCAAGGAAGAGCGGGAAAGAAAGAAAGAAAGAAAGAAAGAAAGAAACAAACAAACAAACAAAGAAACAAAGAAACAAAGAAAGAAACAAACAAACAAACCAACAAACAAACATGCATCCACAGTGAGAGAGAGAGAGAGAGAGAGAGTAAAAAGAAAGATAAATAGAGAAAGACAGACAGCGAGCAAGCAATTGAACGAATGAGTGAGTAAGTAAGTAACAGAGAGAGAGAGAGAGAGAGACAGAGAGACAGAGAGACAGAGAGAGAAGAGAAGCTGGGGAAAGAAAACTATTAATAAAAATCTTTTATATTTTAAATTAAAACTAGAATTGGTACGCGTTAGAAATGACTCGATTATTTACGTATGAATTCATTTTTATAAACACTTAAGGATGAAATGAAATTGAACAATTTTTATTATTGCTATTTATTTAAATTAAAAAAAAGAAGACAGCTTGTTTACGATAATTAACACTTTCACTACTACATTACTGTAGCATTGTTGCCGTGCTGTGCCGGTCTGTTTTTGGGAAAAATAGGAAAATGACATTTATTATAAATAAGTGACTATAAAGACGCCGACGGCGATTTCTCATGAGCGTCGCCATTTTGGTTTCAATCAGAAAACGACCCCCACCTCGACCCAGTACACAATATGATAAAAATACTTTAGAAAACAGGCCGTACCTTATGCTACGATGTGTCTATGATTGTATGGAAATAGCTCTGAGAGCTGGATAGTTTATAAGAAAAACGTCTGGAAAAGGTAAATCGAAAGTGTTAATAATATACATTAAAAGTACACATTTTTTTATTTAAAAATAAATTCTATTTAGCAGAGCGTAGTTTCGATCTACGGACCTCTGGGTTATGGGCCCAGCACGCTTCCACTGCGCCACTCTGCTTTCCCGAAACCGCACGCCTGAAAAGAAGTTTAAATAAATCAAATTATCTCACGTTGTATTGACGACTGCTGGAATTTTGACAGTCAGCACAAGTGTCCATTGATTAAAAACAGAGTAAGCTTTTACAAACCTGCGTTGTTCAGTCACGTGTATAACTCGCTCAATCTTCTTGGGATAGATAAAGACTAGACAAAGAGAGGCAGAATAAAATATGATGGGAGTAAATTACGGACCAAGTAAAAGTTTGTAATTAAGAAAGTGAGAGGGAGAGGTCTAGAACTAAACAAATAACCAGAGAAAGAAATATGGAAAATGCTGTTCCGATATCTTTTCTTATTTCTGCGTAGCAAGTAATTCAATTTTATTTATTTATTTATTGACTGGTAAAATTGTTGATTAGGACGCAGAAACCAATTTAAATATAAAGCATCATTCCAAGTGTAAAAAAATCCCGATTATTCCTGAAATAGAATTAAAAATTTGCGGAAGCCTACCGTTTAGGAGATATCCAGAATCTTATTTGGGTCTTATTTGTGTCTCGGTTACAGCCCGGTCGCCATTACTGGACTTGTAGATAACGCCCCGGTGATCAATTTAAATAAAAAGCATCATTCCTGGTGTAAAAAAAATAGTCTGATTATTCCAAAAATAGTAGTAAAAATTTGCGGAAATCTACTGCACTCTTAGCTGGGTTCTGAGTACAGTTTACCCATTAACTGAATAAGTTAAAAAAAAACAAAACAAACAAAACAAAAAAAAAAAAAATTCCTGTTGTAAAAAAGCCTGATGAAAATTTGAGAAATCTTTACCGTTTACAAGATGTATAAAAATATTGTAACAGGATTTTCTAAAAAAAGAATTGCAAAAATAATTTCATTCATTTGTGAACATGTCCTAAAAGACACAAATAAGACCCAACTAAGATTGTCAATATCTCCTAAACAGTAGGTTTCTGCAAATTTTTAATGCTACTTTTGGAATAATCAGAAGTTTTTACAGCAGGAATGATTTTTAAAAAATAGTTTCTGTGTTCTAATCTGCAATTTTACCCATTTATTTATTCATATCGACGATAAAAACTAATGGGACAAGATGAATCATTAACCGTGACCTGGTTATCACTAGACAAAAACAATGCTACTGTACGGTACGGAATATAGGACTCTGCCCAAAGAAGTTAGGAGCAAATGCAAAGAGGAATGGCTGAACGAAAAAGAGAACATCATACACTTAGTCATCTTAAATACCAAAAGACAATGACATCACTGGTAATAAATATACAAGCATCTTAGAACATTTTCATTTCATTATTTTCATTTCATTATATGTATCATATTTATGTCCGACATGTGTTATTTTAGTCTTAATTATGTTAATATATGTCATCGAAATGAGTTGTCACGTCCTAGATTATTACTTTACTATTGCGTTAGCGTAACTGAATGACGTAAGTCACGAAAATCGCGGGTACTTTCCAACTTACACGGAAAATCACTTTTCACGCATCGTAAGAACGGATTTCTGTCATAATTCGAATATCCCCTTTATAATAGAATGGAAAGCAATAGTCAAACAGTAAAAGATCTTCGAGAAATCAAACAAGTCTTGTTAAAGTCGAAACAATAGAAAAGTGAATAAAATCAGTTATTGAAATATTGAAGAAGGTTGTAGAATGTCAAAGTGGCCATCAGTCAGTTATACGTGATACACGCTTAGGCAATCATATACCTTTTGATACATGACTGACGAGGCAGATATTTCCCGCAGTATGTTGCCATTACTTTCTGCAGTAGACCAGTTGCCATCAAAGGCTATAGAACCCGATTTGTCCTGCTGGGGTGAGGGGAGAAGAAGAGGATTCATACCTTTCCCAAGGGTATTAGCACGTAATGGGATTCGAACTCGGCTCTCCAATTCCTCAATCCGAGCTGCTATGGATTTTTTACTTCACTGTGCCTCCCTAGGTGGCCATATTAACAAGTAAAATAATAAAATAACAATTTATACCAGTAGATGGAGATATTGTGATAATCAAATATATTTTTATGCCCTATATATTTGGATTTATTTATGAATAAAAAGATTAATTGATTTTAGTTTTTTTGCATAATAAAACCTGACATTCTCCAAACAATTCATTATCAATATTTCTAATAAGAAAAGGCATAACCTTAAACTCACACAATATATTATTCATATAAATATAAGTGTATCCAAAACTTGCTTGAAAAACCTTAATTGGTTGATAGCAATGTAATTGTAAAAATATTGTCTTGCAGAATATCTCATGAGAGTTACAACATACAACTAAAGCAATAAAAACGGATATAAGTAACGACGATAAAAATATCATTTATATCTCAAACTGCCGTCGATTGGCGTGACTGGCATGAGATTTGCTAAGTTATTTTTTAGGCGAATTCACGCATTATTTTCCGTTCTTTACCTATGTTAAAATCAACCCAAAAAGATAGCCAACCTATCTTTAAAACTATTTTGGCAATTTAACAGTTTAAAGAATTGCTCAGCATACCCCGTTATGTGAGTGAAAAAATAACTGGTTACATTCAATCGCTCGAAAACCAAACTAGTTAGATTCCATCATCGCTGATCAGGCGCAGAACTATTACCAATAACGATGAACGGTTATTCCCTTCGAGAGGCCCCGTGTCTTGATTGCCTGCTCAGATTTACTCTCAACCCAGACCACAGGTACGGCTTCTAGATACGATCCATCGCTAAAAGATAGTCGGTTCCATGTACAGCTCCAGTAAGCACCTGATTCCTCCTAACATCCTCTACATTTACAAGAACCAGATCAGGCCAAAAATAGAGTACTCTTGCCATATATGGGAAGTAGCTGCCCAGTGTTCAATTTCCAGTCTCGATAGATTCTAGAAGCGTCTCCGCGTGGGTGATAAATTATTTTCCACTCTACACCCCCTTTCTCATAGACGAGATGATCAAAAGCCTCTCACTGCTCTATCGCTACTTTCATGGAGAGTGCTCAGACGAATTCAGTCAGTTATGTGCCATACGTGATACACGCTTAGGCGATCATGTACCTTTCGATACATGACTGACGAGGCAGATTTTTTCCCCGCAGTAGGTTGCCATTTCTTTCCGCGGTAGACCAGTTACCATCCAAGGCTACAGAACCCGATCAGTCCTGCTATTTATCCTTAGAAAAGAAGAAGATTCATACCTAAGGGTATTAGCACGTAAGTGAATGTTATGGATTTGAATGGAATTCGAAATCGGAGCCGGTATCCATTACTCCACTGTGCCTCCTCAGACGAATTACAAGCCTTAATACCACCAGTTCTATCGTTCACGGCTAAGATCCGCCATACTACGCACATTGTATGGAACCCTCCTCATTCCCACCGTATTTCATTGGTGCGATATAAGTTCTACTCGAGCGGAAGCTTCTCCCAAACTGCTGCATTGGAGAACCGACTCCCTAGAGCAGAGGTCGGCAACTCATTCGACCCCGCGGGTCGGATCGTGTTATAATGACGGGTCGCGGGCCGGACGAAGGACATTAATGAAAAATTAAGGAAAATTACATATGCAGACCCCTGTCAACCTAAATATTTAAAACCATAATGAAAATAAACATTGAGAAATCAGAAAAACAAAAGAAAATATAAAATTAAAAAACACCTAACAAAAATTACTTTTCCTCAAAGAACGTCAAAAATACTTCAAAGGGAAAAAATCAACCGAAGTGAAATGGATGAAATTATGACGTGTAGGTTTGAAACTGTTATTGAAAATTGTTCCGCAAACGAAGCACACACACACACATCAAACAAAAACGAAACACATATACCCATACATACGAGTACAAATAATTGCAAACATATACACTTACGTACGTACACATGCGGTATCATCCACACATTCATGAGGCATGTATGTATAATGCGCGTATGTTTAACTGTCTTTAGATTTCTGCTACCTTGCATGTCAGTCCCTCCCTGGCCTCTTTCACTTTATCGTTCCTTTCGCTTCTGTTATCTTTTAATGTAGCCAAAGGTCATAACAAATATGTATCCATTATTTGACATTAAACGTAGGCAACGTAATTTGGTTAAATTAAGACTCATGAAAGATAACTGGCAGATAGTCTAATATTTTTAGTGCACTGAGATGTGTAGACATTCTATGGAAAATGACATATAACAAATTTCATTTGAAGGTCGCCTCCCATGTTAAAAATAGTCATTGGTAATCAGGCTCGCGGGCCGGCCAAAATGCCTTCGCTGGCCGGATCCGGCCCGCGGGCCGTAGGTTGCCGACCCTTGCCCTAGAGGATACATTTTCGATCCCTACAAAGTCTAGGTTTAACTGTTATATCCCCACATATCCCCATAAACTGTACCTGTTATTCTGTAATACTGTACGCTGAATGGCTTCCGGGCATTGTACAGAATGAACCCCATTGTAAGAAAATATTGCATTAGATAATTTGTGTACATGTACCGTCATATCCGGGTTTGCAAAAAAGGACGTGTACATCATTCTTCTGAGACGTCATGTTCTCAGTTTTAAGTGGATCACCTTCCAACTATCATTTAAAATTCATTGAAACTCTCTTCATTAAATCAGGGCAACCTCCCTTTTGCAAGGAGGTTTGTTTCTTGAAACTGAATGTGATTTCTTAATAAAAATATACCAGTTGTAATATATAATTTATACACGCGCATTTTCATCTTTATATTTCCTCTTTTAGTTGATGTGCACAAAAATTTACTTTCCCCGACGAGCGAGGAACGATAATCAGCAAGTTCATTCTGTATATTTCTTTCTTGTTCCTAATTTCGTATTGCTAAACTACTGAAGTTGTTGTTTTCCCATTCTTGTCCTTTTAAATTATATCCGTTTTTATGACTTGCAGAATAAAATTTATTTGACTACAATTTGTAGTAATTAGTGAATGCATTACGTAATAAAAATAAAAACGATATATCACTTTATGTCTAGTAGGAAAAGTATTAATTGACTATTAATATTTCGCATAAATAAAATCCAAAGAAGAATCTGCAATGTCATTGGTCCCCTTGGGGAAGCTATAAATCCATCTCTTCTCTCCCAGTTAGGGTTAATTAGTAAGACATGAATTAATAAATCATTATTATTTCCAACCCACCAAAAATAATTTCTTAAAATGTGAAGATATTTTCTGGCTTTAAATAACCTGCAAAGAGTTGATAAATCGTAGATCAATCAATCAATAAAACGTAGACAAACAAACACACACACACACACACACACACACACACACACACACACACACACACACAAAGACACACACACACACAAACATTTATATATATGTATATGATAAAAGTATAGGGTTAAAGTACTCAATATCAGGGATAGAGCGAATGTAAATATAAAAGTGGACATTGAGGTCAACATCCAGTGGCAACAGTCTGTTTCATGCTTAAACAGCATGAAGATTGTATTTAAGCATGAAACAGTCAGTCACTGCTGGGCGTTGATTTTAATATTCACTTTTATATTTATATTTATACACACACATACACATCCGTATATATATATATATATATATATATATATGACTAAAATAAGTAAAAATTTGTTATCTGATTAATGTTACCTTCAGCATCTCGGCTCCAGAGTTTCGTAGGCGGAAGTGTCTGTCCACTCTTCAGGGTTTCTTAGCAATTTACTGCTTATATTTTTCATTTACACACACACACACACACACACACACACACACATATATATATATATATAATAATTTTTTTACATACGGACAGAAACAACTTACTACAAAGATGTATTCTAGTTCCGATGCGACTACATCTCGACAAGAAACAAAAATGCATATTTGCAGTGAGTAAGTTGATTTTGTCCGTATGTAAAAATTATAATAAATAATTATTTCTCTACTCTTGGTATTGAGCCCTCTTTTGAATTAATGCTGTGAACGTGTTAGAATTTATATTATTTTCGTTTTCATTACATTCGGACATATATATATATATATATATATATATATATATATATATATATGTATGTATGTATGTATGTATGTACGCATGTGTGCAACGAAGACAATAAAATGTGTTAAACTGTAAAGAGAAATTAAATTATGAGATAGTTGAAGGGTGTTATAAAGACGCGTCACAAAACCAGGTTTTGTAGTTAACGTGTCTACGGCTGCATGATGCCACATTGTGGGTCACGTGCTTGCCAGACAGTGGCTTTACTGCCTCTTGTAAGACGAGATTTTCAATTCCACGCCCCCTGCAAATCTTTTACTTGTTTTCTTCTTCGCTGTGTGCATTTGTGTGCATTTGTGTGTATTTGTGTGTCGATGCGTGTGGATGTGTGTGCGCGTGCGTGCGTGCGTGCGTTCATTTATGCCTCGGCGTATTTACGAATGCATTCTGGTGTGAGGTTGTCCACTTGTAAGAATCCGGACGGCTGCTTGCATATATGCGTTTATGTTTCACTATGTGCGAGGAGTAAGCGCTTTACGAAGCGCGCTCTACCTGCTGCTCAACTATTCTTTGCATCAAACCTGAACGCAACTGAAACACGTGAGTGGTCATGCATCACGTGCAAATCAAAACGGCTAGAGGGCAATTAAAATAAATAAAGACAGAGAGAGAGAGAGAGAGAGAGAGAGAGAGAGAGAGCAAAGTAAGGGCAGCATATTTCTGCCGTCAGTTCGTCCATTTAGACAGTGGTAAGTGCCTTTCTAATGATTTGTATTCATTCAAATATTATAAATGAGGAAAATAACATAGAAATAGCACATTTTACCCCACTTTCATTCCCCTTTATCATTTGACTTGTTATTGGCTTCAGGTGAATGACCAGTCGTTCTTCTTGGGCTCTTAATAAAAATAACAAATAAAGAAACGAAACTTTAGCGACAAATAGATGTCATTGTTGTCGATTTGAAATCTGTACATGTTATTTTTTTAGAACGTTAATAGATGAATGTATTCATTTATGGAGAGAAAGAGAAAGAGAAAGAGAAAGAGAGAGAGAGAGATCAAGAGAGAGAGAGAGAAGGAAGGAAGGAACTTAAAAATTAGAATTTTCCATGAACTTTTCTTAGCTAAACTTTTTCTTTCTTTTCATCGTTTGTTATCTAAGAAACTTATATTATCTAAGCAAAAGCAATTTGAATTGAAGTAATTGGGAGTCTAAAGTAAAGATCAGCAGAAATCTTTTCTTCGCCCAAAAAAATTATTTTAATTTAACAACATAACAACATGTATTTTAAGAATGACCAGTCTAGTAAAATGTGTCACACGCAAGTATCGAGGTATGGTTAGGTTGTCACACTGGGGATTTGGGTGTTTTAAATTTCTGTACTAATTGACAAAATTATTATTCTAGTTGCAATAAAACTTCCGGGAAAATAAATGTCTTGCGATAATTCTTTTAAATCAAAATTTAAAATGATAAATTCAAAGACTACTGTTGATAATAGCATTTTAAAAATATATTTAAGACTAGATCAAACTTTTAATACATTAATTAATTTTATATTGGCCAACCAATTATTTCACTAACTGTTTCTCCGTCAGGCAATGTGCAAATATCGTATATTGCTTAATAAAATTGGTTTCAAGCTTTTAGTGTATCAAATGTATTTTCCTTTTTTATCAAAAAACTATCATTAATATTATTGTTGTTATTGTTGTTGTTGTTGTTGTTGGTCGTGGTGGTGGTGGTCGTGGTGGTGGTGTCTATTGCTTTTCCTTTGTGTCGTATGAGTTTCCCCATATCTCAACCAAAGACTTCATATTTTTGTATCAGATGATGCAAACAGATGAGGCGGCATGCAATCAAGAAAAAAATGTAATTATGGTCACTGTATATATCTATGCAAGATTTGAGAAGTACCCATGCGTATGAATTTTCAATTATTATTATTATTATTAAACAGAATGATTGACATAACTCATTCAATATTTTGCAACAATATTTTACAGCACAATGAGAAGTGAGCGGTTTAAAAATAAAATGAAAGGACATAGTGTTTAAGAATGTTTAACAATATTTCAACAGTATGTCTGCATTTTTTAAATATTTTAAAATTTTCTTTATAATTTTATGCAATTTTTAAACTTATCTTGAAAAAGTATACTGGCGAAATATTGCTAAACATTTTCTTTTCTTTTTCTTTTCTTAAATCCGGATCTTTTCTAAGCATTATTATTATTATTATTATTATTATTATTATTATTATTATTATTTCCTGTTGTATTCTGATTTCCTTTCGGGTCCCAAACAAAGAAATAAGGTCAGAATTTACATCATGGCATTTTCCACTGTACAATTGTGTAAAAGAAAGATCTACAAACGCATACACATTTTACATAGATAAATCACTTCGTAGGTTTTGTATTTCCTTAAGGAATGGCCTAACAGGTATCCCTTCAATAAGTATAAGAAAATTTTTCCAGTAAAACCTAGGGCTCAAACTAAAACTGGAGTTATTGATGTTTTCATGTGCTACATTCGTGAAAATTCCACCTCAAGCAAGGTCCTTGATTTTTGATAATTGTTGAAGATCTTCAAGGCTAGATAATAGCCTGCAGAAACTGCCATATCAATAAGAAATCGCATTTTGTTTTTTTTAGTCTTTGATATTATTATTATTATTATTATTATTATTGTTATTGTTATTATTTCCTTCGATTTCTGTTTTGTACTCATTTCCTTTCGTGTTCTAAACACCAGTCTAACGTAAAAAAATGGCATCATTACATTTTTAAGGAACATTTTTGTAAAAATAAAACAACCTAAGAGCAAACATATTTTACATAGAGAAATCCTTCCGTAATGTGTGAGCTGTACATGTTTTGAACTTCTTTAAGAAGTACCATGGATCCCTTCAATTAGAACCTTTTCCAATCATACACAATGCCTTAAGCACAACTGGAATTATTGATGTCCTCATGTGCCACATATCTGAGATTTCCACAAGATCCTTGTATTTTGGAAGTTTTTAAAGATCCATTAAAATCTACAGGAACTGCCATTTCAATAAGGAAGCACATCCTGTTTTTATGGTCTTTTTGATCAGCATCTCTGGGCGATTAGCTTTGATTGCTCTGTCTCTGTGTATTGTATGGTCCCATAAAATTGTTTCAGGTTCTATGTCTCTAACCGGGTCTGGGTGGTATTCATTCCGATTTTTTGCAGCTAGCATCGCATAAAAGTTGCAGATTTTCCTGTGGAGATATTGACCCACACTATCATGCCGATATATTCGGAGGATTCTAATGCCATGAAACCTGATACAAGATGGTCAAGTGTTTCTGGATATTCATCACATAATATGCATTTGGGATGAGCACATTTTTTCAGTATTTTGCGTGATAAATTCTAGTTAGCAAGCATTGGTATGTGCAGAAAGAATAAAATCTTCAGTTTCAACTTTTAAACCTGCACTACCCAACCACTGATGGGTATGGGGTCTGTCTACATAAGATTGTTTGACACGGACGGAGTATTGACTATGAAGAAGTTTATCTTGTCATCGTCTCTGAATTTGATCCATTGCACTTGCTTTTGCTTTCTTTTTTTTTTAGGTTCTTTACCGCTACCGTAGATTGACTATGGCTTACCTGTCCTCATTCATCCACTTAAAATTACCTTTTGAATTTGTTGGATTCCTTTATTTCTGAATAAAGTTTTTTATTTCTTTCATCTTTCTTTCATGCCAATTCTAGTTGAACTAATCCTCCACCTCCTTCAGATCTGAACACACACAGACGAACAACATTGGCCTTAGTATGTTAGATGCGATGGTAATTAAACAGCTTTCACGTTTTGACATCCATTTGCTTAATGTCATCTAATACAGTTAAAGATATTGAAACTGTATTGCACCACAGGGACAACCAAAGTTCTTTTGGCTGATATTCTGTGTTGTGAATTCAACTTCGCGTTTAACACCAGATTTCTACTCCTGTAACATACATTTCTTATTTCACCTTCATTTGGTTATGCTGTATCCATCTCCTTCGCCAACTTTTAAGGATTTATATGCTTCTTCTTATTCCAGTCCTCCTAATATTTATGACAGAAAAGAGATCTCTTGAGTGTATTTCGGTAGTTCTTTCTTGAATGTTATTTTTGCACATTTATCTCATCCAAAGTCCATACCGATGTCATCACTGAAACATTTTACAATATTGTGGAGACTTTTCAACTCATTGTCGTTTTTGGTAAAAAATCTTGTTTATTTTATATCCATAGTTATCATTGTTTAGTTCATGCGACAGGTGGATTAGAGACAGATAAAAGAGGAGGGACGACATGGAGTGTCCCTGAAAAGTTCTTTGCCGGATATTCGAAAGTTTGGAAGTGGCAGTGCTTTTAGTTTGATTTCGGTGTAATGTGGTTTCCCACAATCCCATGCTATATTTAAGGAAATTTACTGTCATTAAGTAGACTTTAAATTTCTAAAGTATTAAGGATCCAAGAGTATTGCACTATCAAAAGCTTTACGATAATCTATCCAAGCTGGGGTGATATTTCTGCCTTTTTCCAGGATCATTTTATTTATCAATAGTTGATCTTTGCACCCACATCAAACTCTTCGGCATGCTTTCTTTTCCAAGGGAAGAATGTTGTTTTCATCGAAAAAAGAAAAACTACAATCAGTGATAACAGACGTGATTAATTTATGTGTGGTAGACGGACATGTTATTAGCTTATTTTTTTGGATCATCTGTTTCAACCATTTTTGCTAGGAGAGATGCAACACCTTCAGCGACCCCTTTTGAACTTTCATTGGGATTGTTCATTAATACTGATAAAGTTTGCGCAAGTGTTTTATGGATTGACGACAGGTGATAGAGCTAAAATTTGAGTACCTTTTTACCTCTTAGAATTTTCAATGTTTGCGATTTTTTTAAAGCCTGCCTTACATTATTCTTGGTTATATTTTTCCATTCTTGTGTAGGTATATCCTCCGTTTTTTGTTCTCTGTTGATCCACTCTGCAATGGGATTATATTCTTTTAGATTGCTCCAAATATTCTCCCCAAAGTGTTTCACTTCTTCAATCAATTTCTTTTCAAAGTTTTCTCTAAAATATCTTGATGTCTGTTTGATATATGTATTTTGTCGATAGAACGTACAACGTTTTACTTACAGTTTTGTTCTCTGTGCTTTTAATTACAATTTCAGTTTAAGAACTTCCTTCATTGTTGGAATTTCATTTACTACTTAAATTTTATATTTTCGCTTGATCTTACTGATTTTCCGTATTTGCGTTTCTTGAAATGCCATCTAGTATCGATAACTCACGCCTGATTTCCTTAATTTCTCGCTTTAATCTTGTCTTCCAAGAAAGTTCTTATTTGTCTGGTGTTTGATATTTTCTCTGTTTTGACATTGCGTTTTTCAGTGTTTGCTAAAGCATTTGTTTATATTACATTATTTACTTTTGTAAAGTTTTCTAATCGTCTGTCCGTTAACAAATTTTGCAATTTAACGTTATACAATTTTTTAATCATTTCACCCTATGCATTTTTCAAAGTGTTAAAGAATATGAAAAAAGAGAAACATTATTAAGGAGCGTGAACAATAGAAGAGTAATCAAGAAACGGTAGATAACGATTGACATTGCATTTAAATTTTGCAGATGAAAGTTGGCTTGAAAGCATGGAGCTGGAGAGAGTTCAACATGCGAGAAGTGTGAGAAAA